AGAGACCAATTTCTTGTACCCAATCCTCTTTTGGATTATTTTTCTTGAGCAGATAGTCTTTAATGTGCTAAAGAACAATTTGGGCTCAGAAAGAGTGGTGGGAGATGATCCTATCTTGGTGCCTATCTGATTTGTTAGACTGAAACTTCAGTCATAGTTTGGCAGGAAAAAAAACCCAAAGGGGCCTAATAAAATGGTTTGCTGAATTTGAAAGATGTATTTAGGCTTCAATGCCTAACTCCTAACTTTCCTAGGTTAAGGAAAACAATTTCAAGGCCAGGCACAATTTGTTTCCGTCTGTATTTTTGTAGAGTAGGCATTCTAAAATTTTATTATCCAAGTGTAACTGCCCATGTGGATTTGGAGAGATAGAAGCAGTTCTCAAGTGCTACTATAGTATAAATTTAATATATAGGTATATTCATAATAATTACATTTTACTACTGCTGCATCAATACCCAGGAACAATGAATAATTACTATATGAACCTCCTACTCTCAAATATGAGTTTATCTGTTACCTGAACACAAACAAAATATTGTGTTGTGGTAGTGAAAACGAGGCAACAGTCTAAGCACGGTAGTTTTACTTTTTTTAAATTATGCTTTAATGCAATTTCCTGATCATTGATCAAAATTAATTGAATCCAGATAAGGATGTTATGCAAACATAATATAATCAGAGAACTGGAATAGAGAGTCCAAGCCCTCCTCTTGTGAGCACCAAATTGGGGAGAGGTAGAAAGTGGACTCTCTCTTTCTCAATTCCTACAACTGTAAAATGTGTAACTTCAACTTGGTTACCATGTAACATGGTCAAAGGCAGCTTTGTATAAAGAAGATTGAGGTATCAACTGACGCAGTCAGCTAAAGCATTGGTTCTATTTGATAAGTTTGTTTCAGTTCACAGTGTACCAAAGCTCTTTATATTTTATCATTGCTTTAATTCCAATAAAATAATCAAGTGCCAATATTTGCAGAAATTTATTATCTTCAACCATTATTTATAACAAACAGAACAATATAAATAGGAAGTTACTATTATCAAATAGTTCCTGTAAGAAAATGTTGTAGGAACCTGACCAGCCAGATGGGTCCTCTTCCCAATCAGATTAACTTAAAATTATTTTTCTTAACAAAACCCCAAATACCATGATCATTAAATATGTCCAGTTTTTGTTTGATTTTTCAGCCCATAGACCCATCAATTATAGATTTGAATAGTTTTAATGTACAAAATGTAGATTTTCATCAGCTTGTTAATGTCCTCTAGTTTAGCTATGAAAGCACATTATGTTGGCGTTTGAAAAAGGACTCCTTTTTCATTCCAAAAATAAGTCACCCCATACATGCTAGTATGTAAGTAAGTAAAAATAATATAGTTGATTAAGACCCAAATAGATAAGGTAGTTGTCTTTGTCCTTTTATTAAGCAAAGGCCTGCATCTCTGAATTTTGTTTTCAGGTAGAGCAGAGAAGAAGAAGAAAAGGAAATGAAGAAGAGAGGTAAGGCCCATTTCCCCACCTGTACCTAACCACTTGCATGCTTTGCCTATGCCTATCCCTTCTGTGTCCCCAAAACCATGTCTTCCTCTCATCTCCAGCCCATAAGAAGGTAGACTTCATGGTAATGTTTTCCACCTATTGTCTCAGAGCAGTCTCAAGGTATCTAAAATATGTCAAGCTTTTTTTTTTAATTGTGCTTTCCAACCAACAACAGGTCCTTGATGTTTCCTTTGCAAGATTTCAAAGAAAATGGCAAATGATTTGACATTACCTTCATTCTCATGCTGAGAGATATTGACTGGCTGTAGGTCACTGAGCTGGCTTTGTGCATAAGATGGAACCATAACTCATTTTTCTGGTTTCTAAGCTGGTGCCTTTAACAGGACCTAAGACCGTTTCTCAACTTGTTACGTGTTACCTTAAATAGAATGTGGTGACTGCAGTAATTGAAAACAGAAAACAGAGATAGGCCAAGGACCAACAAAAGGGGAATCAAATTATGCCAGAATATTTTTCTGCTAAATCAGGCAATGAAGAAAGGAAAAAAGATAAGAGTAAAAATCAGTTTTTTCCTTTTATTTATATTCCTAACATGATTAGTGGTTAGCAACATGAAAAGTGCAAACAATAGACTATTCCAACATATTTAGTATTTCGGAAAACAGCTAATAAAGAACAATATTCTTTCAGCCCTCCAAGTGTTAAATGGCATTTATTTGTCAGTGATTCATATCACAAAAAGACAGAGAATATGTAATAATAATAATAAATATTTTTCTTTCTTTGCAGATATTAAAATAATTGTCTGATGAAAGAATTTAAATGAAAAAAAAATCTATTTGTTTTTTTGAATATGCAAAAATGCATGGTTTTCTGTCATCAGTCAGCATTTCATTATTTTTGAAATGCTAACTTTTATTTTTGTTTTCTTTTGTTGTAAACCTATTATTTACTGCCATGATATTTTGTTCTACATGAAAAAGGCCTGGAACTAAATGTTAGAGGTCCATGGCATTCTGTGGAGTTCTTCATCTCAGTACTTCTCTGATAGTAAGCAGTATCTCTTCTTCCTCCTTCCTCCTCCTCCTCTTCTAGTGAATGCAAAATCAGGGTCATTACAGGAGGGTTATAATGGATGCAAGTCCTTCTAGCTATTGTAACCATCCCTAAAGTTTATGACAGTTGTCTGAAAAAGTAAGCAAAGGATAACAGTACCATTGCAATACCTTGGAGCACAGGAAATTGCTTTATATTATGTTAGACCATTGATCCATTTAGCCCAATGCTGTTAGCACTAAATAGAAGTGGTCTTCCAAAGCCTTCACCTGGAGATTTTAAAGTCCTATGCTGAGATGCCAGGACTGAGATGCCTGGAACTTTTTACGTGGAAAAAAATTGTCCTGTTACTCAACTTTCCTCTAAGTAGTTATGTTTTGATATTGGCTTTCAAAAGATATGTTTGATTTACTAGAACTCCATGTAACTTTTTATATATGTATATAGAATCTGTTGAGTCATATGTCAAGTCTGCTGAGAATGGAGGTATGCTGGCTTTTCAGAACTAGAACCCTAGTTATCTGATAGAGTCTCCATGTTTGCTTTCAGCTGTGAACAGATCCTGTTTTAAAAAATAAATGAAGGATGTAGGACTTTGTTATAGACTTGCGGAATGCAGAGCAAACACATATAGTATGATAGCTTATTGATAATTTTCACTCTTAATTATTCTCAATGTCATTGAGTCAACAAAGGTTGCACAGTTTAAATGAATAGTATATGTCAAATAAGTTCTATTAAAAAGACCCAGAATTTTACACACAACGTACTTTTTCCTATAACAAAAACTCAGATGTGACAAAATAATGTCTCTTTAGTGCTTCTCAATGTATTAGTACCAGAAATGTATTACTTATCCCCAGTTGTGACTAAAACAGACGAAGGTTGAATCTATTGGTCCAGAATTAAACTTTGCCTCTCCACCCACACTGCATTGTTTATTTCTACTCAACCCCCGAACCTGAAACAGATTCTCACAAATAACAAGAAACAATAAGAAATGATGCTAACATAAGAACCAGACCCTGCAACAAATCTAAATGTCTACTTTGCCTCCAAATTTGTTCCAATAGCATCATCAGATGCCCCATTGAGCAACACACAAGATTGCAGACATCTTTCCATATTGTTCCTCTGATATATTAGAGCAATAGACAATCACTATTTAAGTCTGGAATTGCACATAACATTTGAGTCATATAATCTCCCTGATTTGATTGGCGGAACATTAATTTCCATTTATTAAGTTATTTTTGACCTACAAAGTTATATATGGTTTGCAGCCGGGGTTGTTGAAATACTGTTGGTATCCTAACTCAGTCCTTGAGGTCTTACATGATTTTCTCATTTCTATCTATGAGCAAAGCCAATGGAGTGATGACACATATATTCTGATGCCTTCATGGAGAATTCCCTGTTTTAGGAAGCAGAGAACTATTAGGAAGTTCAGTTCCATTGTTTGTTGAAGATTCATCTTTTCACCAGGTCTTTGTATCAATTTAATGCGATCTGAAGAGACTTAATATTCTCTTTTGTTGGTAGTATTTTTATTGTTATTTTTCCAATTTGATATAATGATACTTATAATAACCTTAATAACCTTGTGTTATGATAAATATTTGTGTTCTATATTTTTATTTGTAAATTATATTCTTCTAAAGCACAATTTTTTATCCAATTTTATGAATTAAGCTTTGTGTCATGGATCATCAATCATTTGACACACATACTCTTCTTATGGATTTTTATATACATATAAAATTAGGCCTGGAATAATGAAAGTGGATTATCAATTCTTTTCATTATTCTAGAACTTGGCAATTTCAATGGCACTGAGTGTGGGAGATACACTTCTCAGAAAAAAGAAAATAATTAATGGATAGCTAAACTAAGTAAAGGAAGGCTTGAAAAGAAATTAGAGAGATTCACAGAAGGTTTATCTATTTAGGTCTATGGCATAATGACTGACTCAGGCCACTATTGGGAGGAAGATTAGATAGGCCTTTGGTCTGGACTCTTCTTATGCTATCTTTAAATTCAAGCAGGCAGGGAAAACACAGAGGTGGTATTCAGCAGGTTCTGACCAGTTCTGGAGAACTGGTAGCGGAAATTTTGAGTAGTTTGGACAACCGGCAAATACCACCTCTGACTGGAGATTTTACAGTATCCTTCCCCTGCCACACCCACCAAGCCACGCCTACAGAACTGGTAGTAAAAAAATGTGAATCCCACCACTGAGAAAACAGTATGGTTCAAGTGTCCCGAGTGTCAGCCAGACAGAGTTGCCTTATTTAGCATGCTAAATTGAGCAGGTCTTCAAGGAATTTCAGTTGAAATAATTCAGCCCTTAAAATTTTTGATAGGATATCAGCTTTATCCACATTCATATACATTATAATGACAGGATCTCTTTAGTCAGCAGCTCTTTTTGATTCTGGCATCACTTTGGTAAGAGGCCAGTACTGTACAGTTGCATATGTGGTTGGATATAATAGTCCAAAAACTGCCATAGGGGTCGTTGGTAGGCCTCTGTCACTGTATGGTTTGAAAGACAGGCACCAAGAATGAAGAGTATGGCTAGAAGCATAGTGAGGAGTATCACCAGCAGGATTCCAGCGAAATGCCACAAAATAATAAAGACCCAGGTTAGCTTCCACCTGTTGAAAAGAAATGTGAAACCCGCAGTTGATAAAAGTACAGTAGGTCATGACAAAAACAATAACTTCTTATATCTTAATGATTGGAGAAAATATATACTGTAACTAAATTCCTAGAGTTTGATTTTCAGGTACAAGAATGCTTTGGATTTTTGATTTTAAAAAATGACTATAAAGGCATGTCTGGAAGCCCTTGTTGCATTTTCTGGACATATGAATTTGTTGTTGAAAACTAGCAAGGGGAAACGGTGTTGGGTGATAAAGAAACATGTTTGGCACTGCATTCATATTACAGATGAAAGAAAAACAAACAGCAACCCCCCCCCGAAGTTTTAGTTCATCATCAATTGATAAAATTTCAGTGTCAATGAAGTATCTGGTTTCTTTCTATCAGGCTTGATCAAACATCTAAAACTGTAGACTGAATATGGCAGAACTATATTTGTATCTCCCCAGCTATGACAAATTTCAGCAAGACTTTATAATCCCACCCATGCTCAAACAGGTGCTTCCTAGATGTGTTGGAACTTCTACTCCTAAAACTTGCATGAGCTGTAATTCTGGAAGCTATGTTGTGAGGAAAATTTCCAGAGTTCCTTTGCTTCCTTGGTTTGACTGTAGGAGATATGTTTTGGGAAAAAGATTTTCTATGCCAGGGGTTGCCAACCTTTTGGACCTCAGGTTCTGTGGGCATGGCCTAATTTGTGGGTGTGGCTTGGTGGTCATGTAACTGGCTGGGCATGGCTTGTATGTAAATATTATAAATATTTATATAAATATTGATTTTTTTATATAAAAAAGAGCAACTTTTACCCAAAATCAGGCAAAGCAGGCAGGCAGATTGAGTTGCTCACAGAATCACAGATTCATTCAGAGATCTATCTATCTGGCATCGGCTAGCTCAGTCTGTCACATAAAGTTTGCTTGCAAGCAAACTCACAAAATTAACTCACACTATGTATGTAAATATTATTTTTTTTTATAAAAAGAGCAACTTTTACCCAAAATCAGGCAAAGCAGGCAGGCAGATTGAGTTGCTCACAAAATCATTCAGTGATCTATCTATCTGCCATCGGCTAGCTCAGTCTGTCACATAAAATTTGCTTGCTGTGAATCTGCATTAAATAATAGAACCTTCAGTCCTAAGGGAGGTTCGGCTGTGCTTAAAAGCAGAGCCGAAGATCTAAAGACTAGCTAGAAAGCAAGAAATCCAACCATTTCCTGCTTCCTAGCTAATCTAAATCTCCCCACAAAGCAGAACAGCTGATGGTCGAAAAAAAGTAAAATAGCAATTTTAGCAGGCAAGTTTGCCGGGTAAGGAGTAAATGGGCGGGGAGAGTTCCCGTGGGCCATGTGTGCGGCGCAGCCTTGTGTTTCTGCGCAGCCTGGATTAATTGCTTTGGGGGGTGGGGTGCTCTGGGGGTGAGATTTCTCTGTGGCCCACCAAAATTTTCTCGCAGCCCACCAGTGGGCTGTGGCTGCTCTATACTGTCCATCCCGTAGGTTTTCTCTCTTCTGCTTATGCACATAACTCAAGAAATAAACAATGGTATTTTTACTTTACACAAATCTTGATAGATCTGAAATACTGAAAAATTTGCCCACAAATCTAAGACTAGATAATCATGAGTACCTGATTGAAAGCCTTTCTCCCATGTAACAACAGAAACATTGCTCTGTACCTGTTACCTAATCAACTTATATGTTCTGTTCTCCAAGAAACATCACATAAAATTAAATCAAACCAAACAAACACCTGATAAAAATAATTCCTCCCATTTAACAAAAGAAAGGGAGACAGAAATCTTTGGTTTGTTTACTGGTGTAAGTTAATACATCCCTAATTAGGGGTCAAAGTTCTGCCACAAAGAAACCACTAAATAGGAAAGAAACCCATTGAAAACGCTTAGCTGAATAATAGATGCAACAATTTCTTCTATCTTGCATCACAGAAAGAAGCACTTAAGTGTTATTATTTATTTGTTCTAATATATTTATAGGGATCTTTTAGAACATTAAAGCTGACTTTTATGACTTTATTAAATTTTGAATGACAGTTTTTCCTCTGCTATGTCCATTTTTGACCCCCTCCAATATTTTCTCATAACTTCCCTCTTATATTTTTAATACTACTACTGATTCCCCTGTTACTATATTTCCACGATGCTAACAAATCTGAGAGTTTTCCAGAAGTTACTATATTAATCTAATGAAAAATTTATTTCATTGTTTATATTTTAATGATAGTCTATCATGTAAAAATGGTAAAGCTGTTGAGATCCAATTTTTAGAAGAATCACGTTCATTTTTGGTTCATTCCACTGAAAATCTACCATGCACTGATTATTCAACCAATTTACTGGAATCTAATGGATTCCAAGAAAGTTTGATTCCTCTTTGACTAATGATGTAAGCTCATTTAGGCTAATAGGCTACAGCTGTGTTGGATATCTGCAACATCCATGATGCATAATATAATATGAAACTATGAAGAAATTCTCATTAGATTTTATAAACCATCCTATTGCTTAATGTCCTGCTGCCATTGAGTGTATTGCAAATTCACCTTTGGATTCTATTTTTCTTTAATGGAAATTGTGGTCTGCCTGATTAATCATAAAAACAGAGTTCTGAAAATCCACTTAGACAAGCTCTCCAGGAAATCATCTGATCATAAGAAAAATGGATTCTGTGCATATCAGCCAGGTTCCTCTTTCTGGTTGTTGCAAGTTTATGTTGCAGTTATTGTCACTATCAAATAGTAATATTTTCTTCACTAACCTACCACCACAAAGCTGCTGTTTCATAAGTCTCTCTTCCCTTCTTATTTTTTCTTCCTTTAGGTAAAAAAAGAATAAAATTAGATTTTTAAGATTTCTAGCTTCCAGTATTCCCAGTGTTTAATTGGCAAACATTTTAAAGTTCCTCTTTGTGAAATTTAGACAGTTAAGTTCCCTGAATTTTCTTGCCTCTGAAGCACTGAAACCATGCTGTTAAATTACAGCATGATTTTGCACTATGCTCTTAGCTGTTATGAAATAACAGCATTTGTAACCATTTTAAGCAACATGATTTAAGAAAGTCTAAGAAAGAACATGCTAAATACTGTCAAGGACCAGTCTAGTTCAGTATTCCTTCTCAGATCTCCCAGATGGATACCTCAGGCGGGATACATGATAACGCTTTCCAGCAACTGAATGTCAGAGGCATGCTGTCTCTCTATTGATGCCAAGCACCCATATGTGCACAGAAATCCAGTCACAGCAGATGATGAGTCAATTACTGCTAAATTTGTGCCCTGCTGTTAATGCAGAGAAACATCATAGTCAGGTTGTTAAGTCAATCCTTACTTTAGGACTATAGATACTGTAACTGCTGACTATTTAAGAAGATAGTAATTGCAAAATGTAGATTATTAGCTTACTGTGAGGACAACCTGCCAGTTTCTTTGAATTAAATAACAAATTATATAAAGTTAGTCTGTATCTCTCCCCCTTCAGAAGCTATTAAGGAACATCTTTTTCTACAAGCCTGTTGAGATTCTCAATTATTCAGGTCATGGTTGTCCCAAAGGTGCTTTTTCCAGGAGGCAACTGGACTTTCTTCTTTTTCTTTTGAAGATGTTTTGCTTCTTATTCAAGAAGCTTCTTCAGCTCTGACACGATAGTGGGGAATGGAAGGAATTATATTCTTTGCAGATAGCTGGTAATCTGCATCCTTTTAGAGGGTCGTTGAAGCACTTGGAGGTTTATCTGTGTCCTCAGGATCACCTGAGTAGTATTCCTGGTTCCTGTAGTCTTGCAATGAATTTGAAGATTTTTCCAGAGGAAAAATTGCAGACTACAGGAACCAGGTGACCCTGAGGACACAGATAAATCTCCAAGTACTTCAACAAAAAGATGCAAATAACCAGCTGTTTGCAAGGAATATAAATCCTTCCATTTCCCACTATCCTGTTGGAGCTAAAGAAGCTTCTTGGATGAGAAGTGAAATGTCTTCAAAAGAAAAACCAAGAAAGTCCAGTTGCCTTCTGAAAAAACACTTTTGGGACATCTTATTCTGTAGCTCCAAGGTATCACTAAGCAGCTATCTCTGTCAAAGCTCAGTTTCGGTAATTGTAATAACTATAGCTAAAACAAAGGACCCACTTTTCCCTCATTGGTGATCTATAATTTATGTTCATAAGACTGACCAGATAGCTTTCTCTGTTTTGGATAAAACAAGGTTACTGACCAGTTGAGCCCTGGCTATTTCATACATCAAGTTCTTTGGGTGAAGATTCAAAAACTTGCCTGGAAAATTGCTGTGACATCTGAAAGAAGAGAAATCCGGATTTTTGAAACAGATTTTATACCAGTGAGCTTGTTCCTAAAATCTCCCAAATGGGATTCTTTAAAAAATCCTCAAAGAATGTGGTATTCTTTGGAGATTATTATGATGGAAGAAGTGGTGTTCTTTAAGCCAACACTGAGAAAGTCATGCTTGTATGATAAGATGCAGGTATGCACTGTGTATAAAACATAGAGATTTATATTAAGAATGTTTTTTTCTTGTTTGCCAGCCCTTTCTCCCTGGGTCTTTTTATAAGAAAGTAAATGTAATCTGAAGAATTAAAAGGAATGTATACACAGAGAGAACAAATGAAATTTATGATATTATCAAGGGAGGAAAATAACTGAAATGGAAAAGGGCTAGTCATATAGCAAGAAGAACAGATGGCAGGTGGACCAAGGCAGTCATAGAATGGATTCCACTTGATAAAAAAGCATCTACGAAAGGGACCTAAAACAAAATGGATCGATGACATCAGCGAATATTGCGGGCCCAACTGGCAAAAGAAAACTCAGCGCTGAATTGGGTGGAAACTTATCCAGGGCTCATATACTGTACACAAAATGCTTCTCTCTCTCTCTCTCTCTGTGTGTGTGTGTGTGTGTGTTTCCTCACCCCCCCTTTCTTGCTCTCTGTGTGTAAAAGAATCTAGATCACGGGTATCAAACTTGCAGCATTATATTGTCGTCATATGAAGTTTCATGACATTTTTTCCATTCACTGAGCTGGGGTGGGTGTGGCCTGTGCGTGACTCATCCGGCCTGCAGACTACCAGTTTGACACCCCTGATCTAGATCCAGTAAATTCATGCCCTTCTAACTATATTTTTCCACTTGCAAACTCTACTTCTTGAAAAATGACTTGTACAGACAGTACAGATATTAAAATCAGAATTCCTCCTTCACAGTCAGTAACTCTCTTTCTTTCCTCAGAATGCAAACTACAAAGACTCATGTTAAGGCTTCAGGTATGACTTGGCTAACTTCAGCTACCTTTGATTATGCAAACAACCAACCAATTCCCTTCAGGGAAAGGCCAGGAAAACTGAAACTGAAAAGCTTCATTGCAGTCATTAATCAGTGCAAACGAAATTGATATGCAAATATCCAAAGCTGAATTGACAATATCTGAATAGTTAAAAGAGATATGTGCAACAAATGTTGATTCAAAACAATATTAGAGAGAGCTAAAATGCTTGTTCGGGGTACACAGGTTGTTGGATGTTTCTGGAGTTGTTTTTATGGCATGAACTGGAGATACCATGTGTATCATTCTCCAGATCAGGTGGCAGTGGAAGCTGCAGTGGGAGAGGATACCAGAACAGAATTGGTTTAGCGGACTGGCTAGTGGAAAGGGCTGCAGATTTCAGATGTAAATGAAGATAGCCTCACAAAGGTATGAGAATCCAAGAAACCCTGGAAAGAGTTACCATTTTTTTGCATCTCCTTGGACTCTGAGTGACTTTTGAAATAAAAGTACTGGTAGTTCTCAACTTAATGACTTCATTTAATGACTGCTCAAAGTTACAATGGTACTGAAAAAAGTGACTTATGACCATTTTTAACAGCATCCCCATGTTCATTTGATAAAAATTCAGATGCTTGGCAGCTGACTCATATTTATGTTGGTTGCAGTGATCAGCTTTTGCGATCTTCTGACAAGCAATGTCAATGGGAAAGCCAGATTCACTTAACAACTTTATTACTAACTTAACATCTGCAATGATTCAACTATAGCAAGCAAGGTCATAAAATGGGGCAAAACTCACTTAACAAATGTCTCACTTAGCAACAGAAATTTGGGGCTCAATTGTGGTCATAAGTTGGGGATTACCTGTACTGAAAGAAGCTGTGTGAGGGGACAAAATGAATAGGAGACCCTTAAAAAGCTCCATTTGGGTTTTTTCTCTCTAAAACTGTACATACTGTATATTGTTAAGCCAAGGGCCTTTATTTATTGGAAATATTCAGAAATAATCTACCTAAAAGAAGCACAACACAAAAAAGGTGTGATTTAGAGAAGAACCTGATGCAGCTGGAAAATCTCTGTCCTCTTTCCTATAGCAGTACTTACATTAAAGTCATATTCTTCTTGTACATAATTCCAATAATGTTTGTATGACTTACAAAGGTTAACATATGATAAAGAAAGAACTAGATTCATAGAAATGTCTTACTGGGCCTTCTCTTTCTCAACAGCTGACAGCTCAATCTTCAGAGTTTCTTCTCTGTCTTGAAGAATCTAGGAGGAAATATATAGCAAGTTGGAAATGAATAAGGCTTTCCTAGCTACACTTCTACTTCTTGTCCCAACAAGAGCCAAACATCCAAGAGCACCCTCAGATTGCATACCAGCTCTTTCCAGGGGAAGGCCGTTCCCTATGGAGAACTGAAGTTTGCGTTTTAGTTGGTTTCTAAACCCAACGGCCTGGAACTGCTCTGAAAAAAAGGAACTGAACTACCAAAATTCAAAATAATTCCTAATTCTCACAGAGGATCCAGAAAGATAGCATAGTTGATGGTACTGAAGATCTAACATGACAAGTACAGTCCTTCTCCTGCATCTAAGTCTTGCCTTATGTCACCAACTAGAACAATTAGAGGACTTTTTCTCTTATGCCCAGGCCTGAACCTTGATTGAAAGGATTCATATAATTTATTACCATTATGTTCTCACACTGACTCTTTTTCATTTGTCCTCAATTACACCATTGCTCTATGAAAGCTTTTTTCTGCCTGGAGTGCCTGCTCCTATTAGTGAAGTAAGCAAGAATTATTTCTTGAAGTAAGCAAGATTAGGGGTTGGAGGCCAAAACATATAAAGAATGGTTGCTGGAATTGGGTATATCTAGTTTAATGAAAAAAAGGACTAGGGGTAACATGACAGCAGTATTCCAATATCTCAGGGACTGTCACAAAGAAGAATGAGTCAAGGTATTCTCCAAAACACCTGAGGGCAGGACAAGAAGCAATGGGTGGAAACTAATCAAGGAGAGAAGCAACCAAGAACTAAGGAGAAATTTCCTGACAGTTAAAACAATTAATCAGTGGAACAACTTGCCTCCAGAAGTTGTAAATGCTCCAACACTGGAAGTTTTTAAAAAGAGCTTGGATAACCATTTGTCTGAAATGGTATAGTATTTCCTGCCTAAGCTGGGGTTGGACTAGAAGACCTCCAAAGTCCCTTCCAACTATTCTATTCTATTCTATTCTATTCTATTCTATTCTATTCTATTCTATTCTATTCTATTCT